CAGACCAGAGGCAGAGAAGGGGACTGGCGCCCTGGCTTCCCGTGGGGATGGGTGTGGCAGGGAAGTATACAAGGAAAGATCCATCAAATGGGGGTTTGTCTGAGTCTGGGTGTCCAGCCAATTCTTCCTTCTCGCTGAGTTTCTACATCCGAGTGGTTCCTGGACCTCTTGATGCTACCTTCTGATTGTGTAGAAACCACCCGCTTCTCTCTGGTTCAACTGACCCCATCCTAATCCCAGCCACTGTCCCCCCGTGCCCATGCCTGGCAGCTGGCAGCAGCATTTCAAATGTTGTCGGCATTTGCATTCTTGCTCTCTGACCTCAGCCTATAGCAATCTGCGTGCTTTTTTTTTTGAGACAGACTCTCATTCTGTTGCTGGAGCGCTGGAGATTGAGCATAGTGGCTCAATCTTGGCTCACTGACACGGCTGCCTCCTGGGTTCAAGTTATTCTCCTGCCTCAGCCTCCCAAGTAGCTGGGATTACAGGCATGTGCCACCACACCTGGCTACTTTTTTTTTTTTTTTGTATTTTTAGTAGTGGTTTCACCATTTTGGCCAGGCTGATCGCAAACTCCTGACCTCAGGTGATCCACTCACCTCAGCTTTCCAGAGTGCTGGGATTACAGGTGTGAGCCATTGTGCCTGGCCTGGGTGCTCTTTTAGAAACCCAAATCAGCTGTCCTCACTAAAGTGTTCAATGGCTCTCCATTGCCTTCACGATAAAATCCAAACTGGCTGCTCAGCACCTCCCTACAGGCAGTCTCTGTACCACACTCCAGGCACATGGGGTTCTCCTTTCAGCTCCTTCTTACCTCTGAGCTTTTGCACATGCTGTTCCATCTGCCTGGAACTCTTCTTTTCCCTCTTCACCTGGCTAAATCCTGATATTCCTTCAAATTTCAGCTCAGTGTCCCTTCCTGTCCTTTAAGAACTCTTTTCTCGTACCTTCCTTAAGACTGGACTGGGTCACCTGCTACCTGACAGCACTACCTACCTCCCCGGGAGTTGAGGAAATGAGGAAGCTGAGATGCAGAGAAGGAAGGGACCCTTCCAAAGTCACGGGGCTAGTAAATGGCAGCGCTGGATTAAATTCAGCTCAACAAATGTGTATGGAGCACTTACTATGGGCCAGGCTCTGTACCAGACCCTGTGGTTACGATGACAAATCAGACCAAGTACCCCACCCCAGAGGAGTGCTCAGACTGGCAGAGGAGACAGACTGGAAAAAGGGGCAAGGATGGGGACCTAATCTCAGTGTATTAGTCTGTTTTTACACTGCTATAAAGAAATGGCTGAGACGGAGTAATTTATAAAGAGAAGAGGCTCTGCAGGCTGTACAGAAAGCATCAGGAAACTTACAATTATGGTGGAAGGAGAAGGGGGAGCAGGCACTTCTCATGGTTGGAGCAGGAGGAAGAGAGAGAAAGAGAGAGAGAGCGCGCGCGCGCGAGAGACACGGCGGGGTGGGGGGGGGAGGGGAGAGGGGAGGTGCCACAATCTTTTAAATGACCAGATATCCTGAGAACTGTATCACAAAAGCAGCAGCATAGGGATGGTGCTACGCCATTCGTGAAGGACCCACCCCCACGATCCATCACCTCCCACCAGGCTCTACCTTCAACACTGGGAATTACAACTGAACACGATATTTGGGTGGGGACACAGATGCCAACCATATCACTCAGGGAGGCAGGGAAGGCTCCAGAAGCGGGTGAAGTCTGTGGTGAGACTTGATGAAAAGACGTCCAAGCATGTGTGTGACAATTCATTTATGAATTGAATGAATGAATATGCACATTTGCATCTTTGGGGATACAGATGTCAGGGGTGTGCGCCCGTGTGGAAGTAGGTGTTTGAGTGAACTGTGCATGTGAGTGGCATTTTGCATACAAAAATATGCTGTGTGTACAGACATGCATGTAAACAGGTGCACTGACGTTGAGTATAGGTATGTGAGTAGAAAACTGGATTTGCCTTGTCTATCCAAGTATACAGAGCTAGTGGGAAGAGACTGCCTGTTCAACTTTGGCCTCTGTCACTTACACGTTGGGCAAGGTACCTCTTGGTCCGCTTCTTCATCCATAAAATAAGGACAATGGTAGTATCTCCCTGTCTTGGGTTGGGTTGCTGAGACGCAGGGCCCAAGACAGACATTCTTACCGAAGTGATTTATGGTGGGAGAAGCTGCAAGCCAGTGTGGGAAACAGGATAGAGCTGGAGGAGAAGCTCAAAGCTGAGATGCGAAGTCAGCCGGTGTCTAGTCTCAGCCTGATCCCACGGGGACCTCTGAATCATAAATGGCTTCACAGAGGTGGCCCGCCATAAGAGGAGGAGGCCAGCCCTTGCCAGTCATCAGTTGGCCATACCCTCCTAGCCCTCACCTGGAGGAAGACTTATCTCCTAGGCATTTCCAGAGAAGGGGCCGCTGCCCCCAGGCCTTTATGAGGCCACGCCCTTGCTGCTCTTGCTTCTCAAATGGGACCTGAGAGAGTGTAGTATCGGTCTCCCCTGGGAGCATGTCAGAAATGCATCCCCCAGACCTGCTGATTCAGACTGTGTACTCTAGCACGATCCTCAGGCCCAGACACTTTAACATTTGAGTGTTAAACCACTCACAGGCTCGCTGTGAGAAGGCATACAGAGCGCTCAGAGCAGCATCTGGCCCACAGCGGTGCTGTTATTATTATATGCATCTAGGAGTGTTGTGCGTGTTTGCTCACCCAGATACTTAATATGCAGAAATAAATGCGTGCAAGGAGGACCGGCTAGAACATTAGCAGGATCCATTACAAAATGAAAACGTGGGCTTCTTGGTCAAAAATTAGACAGCAGAGCCTTCAAGCAAGCAGGAGCCCTTCTGAACTGGAGGCCTTGGTGACCCTAGGCTTTCTTTTCTGTGGTGACTTGGGCCCTCCTTATGGCTTTACAGGTGAGAACAGCTGGGAGAAGGGTACCGGCGCTGAGTGTTGGACTTGAGTCTCCGGTCCCCCAGGGGCCCTGCCCCCAGCCCACTGGGACATGCTCACTCCCTGGCCCTGCACACCCGCCTTGATGCCGACTTTGGGGCATCATTGAGAATTCGAAGCTGAGAAATGTTCTCTTGTATATGCACATTGCAAAGAGGCATCTGAGCATATTCCCCCCATGAGTCGTGAGTATCCATTCCCAGGGTACTCTGACTGCTCGGGAGAAGGGGTGTGAAATTTAATTTGCACTAATTATCCCAAAGTGAGAGGAGCGGGAAATGAGCTGGCTCGGCACATTCGGCCTCTTCCAGCGGCTCCCCGTTCCCCAGGTTGCAGTTTATTTATGTGAAAGTGGTGGGGGTGGGGTGGAGGTGCTGTTTCTATGACAACTGCAGCTGCTGGGATTTTGGGGTGGCTTGGCAGGGAGGGAGAAAGGGAGGGTTGGGGCAGAGCTGGGCATGTGTGTCCTTGTGACTGTGGGGGCCAGCTGGAAGCCCCGACTGACTGATGGGTGAGAAGATGCCAGGAGGAGAGGGAGAGAGTTCTTCTCAGCCCCTTTCAGCTGGGAGAGGGCTTTGGGCAGGAGATGGGCTGTCCAAATCAGCAATTCCCTGGGGCAGGGATGTCCCCCAGGGCTAGGCTAGCTTGAGGGCAGAAACCCAGGGTGGCAGCTGGGAGAGTGAGCACAAGAGGGGAGAAGGGACTCCAGGGCCCAGGACAAAGTGCCCGGCCTGCCTCCTCTAGCTCCTTTCCCCCTCCCTTCCTCAGCTCCACCTTTCTCTTCCCATCTCTTCTCTCTCCCCTTCCTCACCTCCTCCCTCCGGCAACCTTCCTTTCCTTTCCCCTTCCTGGCCCTAGCCACAGACTCTTCCTGCCACCACTAGAGGGCGCTGGGGTGCTATGGTCGCCCTGGGAGGGATTTAGCAGCCTAAGACCCTCCAAGGGCACCTCTCGAGGTGAAGGTGGGCAGCGGGAGGAGGCCCCCAGCACCTGGGTCTTCCACAGAGCGGGGCTGATTCTAGCCTGTCTGGAGCCTGGGGCAGGTCTGGGCTATCCCCAACGACTGAGGATGGATGGCACAGGGACCTTCAGGTTTGACGGGGAGGGTGCGTCTGTGGGGCTTGAATTTGCACCCCAACCCTCCAGCTTGTTTTCTCTTCTGCGAAAGGGGGGCAACCACTCCCTGCTCAGAGGCTGCTGTGAGGACTGGATGGAATCACATGGGAATTGCTCGCAATGCGCAAGGAACGTTCCTTGGCCTTAGAGGTCATTCTGTCAGTCAACAAATGTTTACTGGACACCTCCAATATGCTAGGGACTCTGCTGGGCACTGGGGATGGCAGGGATCAAGGTGGAGCAGGGCTTAGCATCACGGATCTTTCAACCTAACAGGGATGAAAATATTATACATAAGGGAAAATCATTTGGAAATTAATCGCAAATTCTTGTTTTTGAGATGGGGTCTTGCCGTGTTGCCCAGCCTAGAGTGCAGTGGCATGATCACGGCTCACTGCAGCCTCAATCTTCCAGGCTCAAGAAATCCTCCCACCTCAGCCTCCCAAGTAGTGGAGATGACAGGCTCACACCACCATGTCCAGCTAATTTTTTATGTTTTGTAGAGATAGGGTCTCCCTGTGTTGCCTAGGCTGGTCTTGAACTTCGGGGCTCAAGCAGTCCTCCCACCTTGGCCTCCCAAAGTGCTGAGGTTATAGACATGAACCACTTTGCCTAGCCTGTAAATTCTTAAGTAGTTGCAAATATGTGGACTGTGTTACAAAAGAGAAGTTCTGGGTACAGACCAGGGGGTTATCTGGGTCTGAAATTAAGCTGCAGCTGAAGGGTGAATAGGTTCCTTCTTTCCCATGAGAGAGGCAAGAGGGAAGGGCCTGCAGGCTGAAGGAAGGGCAGATGCAAAGCCAGGGCAGGGGGAGGGAGAACAGGATGGATCCCAGGCCCCAGGGGTTTGGTGGAGGGTTGAGAGAGAAGGAACAGAGTGTGAGATAAACTGGGGAGTGGCCAGGGGCCGGGCTGCCCGGAGGGTATGGAAGGGCCGGCTGCCTGGAGGGTATGGGAGCAGGTAAGATCCCGGGCAGTGGCACTGCAAAGTGGAAGGCCCAGCTGCCTTTTTATGACAGACGGAGGAGGCGTTTTCAAAGTGATGACAACGTTTCTGAACAGGAAAGTGGGTCTCTCTTCTTCCCCAACAGTCTTAGAGCATCTAAAAATAAAGCAGGCATCAAGAGAGCATCCCAGCAGTGCCACCACAACACAGGGCTCGAACGTGGACGGGAGAGGGGCCTTAGTGGACCCGGAGGCTGAGCTGGCCTCACAGCATTGGTGCTGGGGGAGGATGGACGGTTAGGATCCTGGGTCTTTGGCCCCACAGCCTAGGCTGTGGCCCGAGGTCTCAGTCTACCCATCTGTGAAATGAGGGGGAGCTGGTCCTGACTGCCTCCCAGGGACCTCGTGAAAAGCCGCTGTGAACTCTTCGCAGAGAGGAGGTGTGCTGGTGCCGCCATCCAGGTTTGTGGGCTTGCCCATCACGCTGGTCTTTCTGTAACCATAGGCAGGAAGACAAATGATTTTGGAGCTCCTACTGTGATGTAAGCCCCGTGCTGGGTAGGGTAGGGGTTCAGAAGCAAAAGCTGTATTTTCAGCATCAGGGAGCTCTAGTGGAGAGGCAAGATTCACGCATGCAATAATGACGACTGTCGTAGAAAAAGAAAAGCCTGTAGGTCCCCCTTCCTCCCTCCTTATCTCCCACTGTCTATCTCAGCATTTCCTGGGGCCAACTCTGCTCGGGGTACTGTGTAAAGGAATCCACAGCCATCGACTTCCCTTCATCCTTGCCATGTCTCTGAAACGTGAGTATTTTTTTAAAAAATATTTATTTTTCTTTATTTCTATAGAGACAGGGTCTTGCTGTGTTGGCCAGGCTGGTCTCAAACTTCCATCTCAGCCTCCCAAAGTGTTGGGCTTACACTGGGCCCAGCCTGGAAAGTGAGTATTCTTGTCCCCAGTTTACAGATGAAAAAACTGAGGTTCAGAAACGTTGAGTGACTGTCCCGAGGTCATGTAGTTACTAAATGTCAGATCTAGAATTAGGTAGACTCCAAGTCTGCCTGTCTGAATTCAAACCTAATGATGTATGCGAACTCATGCCTGGCTTTCCCTGTGGTCATCGAGGTATCTGCGTGTCGCGGAAAGATAGTGGAAGAGGGAGAGGGATTCTAAGATTCTTTTAAAATGTCAAGATTTCGGGGGAAGTGAGGGCCCAGGGGTCACTCTTCGTTTTTTATTTTTTGGAGATGGAGTCTCGCTCTGTTGCCCAGGCTGGAGTGCAATGGCGCAATCTCGGCTCACTGCAACCTCTGCCTCCCGGGTTCAAGCGATTCTCCTGCCTCAGCCTCCTGAGTAGCTTGGATTACAGGTTCGCGTCACCACGCCTGGGTAATTTTTGTATTTTTAGTAGAGAAGAGGTTTCACCATATTGGCGATGCTGGTCTCAGACTCCTGACCTCAAGTGATCCAACTGCCTCGGTCTCTCAAAGTTCTGGAATTACAGGTGTAAGCCACCATGCCCAGCCACCAGTGGACACTCTTTAGTGCTAATTTGTAGCTTTTCTGGTGCTGCACTTGGGTGTCTAAGGAGAAAGTAATAAGGCGACATGTGTGAACACGAAGGGAACAGGGAGCATCCAGGTTGAGGGTGTGGCATGAGCGGCAGAAGGGCACTGGCACTAGCAGGAGGGAGCAGGCAGGGAAGGCGGCATGCAGACGCTTTGGTTGGAGAGCTGGCTCGGTGGTGAACTCAGTCACTGTGTGATCCCTAGTGAGTCCTTTCTCTTCGAGGTTTTCATCTCTCATCCGTGCAATAAGAATAGTGGACTAGGTGGTGGCTAAGGTCTCTTCCAGATTAAAAAGCCACTGCTGACTCTTACCTGGAGTTTGATGTGGGGCAGCCCTAACTGGCCTCAGAGGCCCAAGGGTAGTCCTGAAGTCCGATTCTACATCTGGCTTCAAACGCAGAGAGGTGGCGAGGACCGAAACCCTCTGGTGAGGTGGAGTGCTGCAGGGCTGGACCAGCCTGTTTTGAACCACTGCCTGCAGCTCCCATGGAGCCTGCGGAGTCATTTCTCCAAGTTAGAGCCTTCATTGTCTCGTGATGAATTTGGGCTTCTCACCATGACTCACATCCTGGAATGAGCTGAGCTCAAACATGGCTTCTATTGCTCAGAGAAGGGGCTCCCCTTTCCCAAGTTTCTTCCGTGCCTCCTTCTGTGAGTTGGAAAGCTCTGTAGTGAATAGAGTGCCGGTCTGGGAGATGGCCAGACTTGGGATCTTACCCTGGCTCTTTTTAGCTTTGTGGCCCCAGGCAAGCTGCTAAACCTCCCTGAGACTCAATTTCCTCATCTGTAGCATGGGGATAAACCCACCTGCCCCCCAGGGCCCTTGAGTAGATTACAGGAGGATGTCCGTGTAGGTGCCTGGTACAGAGCAGGTGTTCACCTAAGGCCTGCGGATTCTGGATCAGTTGACAGTTTCCCCAGCAGGGGGCCGGTCGCCGCTAGACCACTGTGTGCTCTGAATAATTCTCCTTTAAGACAGAGGCCCAGATTTTTAAGGCATTGGGCAGGATCAGGCAAGATCTGTAGACTTGGGATAACCCACAGCCCCACCTCTTTCCTCTCTTTGGGGCCAGAACCTGGCTGACCCTCAGTGGAAGGCGCAAGCTTTCAATTCTGCAGGAGCAAATTTAAGGTACCTGACCAGCTACCCTCCTTACAGCCTCCAAGTTCAGCAGTGGGGTGGCTCAGACCCTAAGACTAAAGGTTTTATTTATAAATCCAAAAGTTTTAATTTTTATCAAAAAGTCACCCACACACACAGAGTTTAAATAAGTTCCACAGGTTTTTTAAATATAAAATTAACTCACTCCCATTTCCCCACCGCAGAGAGGAAACCACTTTGACTTCTGTTAGCTGATTTATTTTGACATTTATATTCATGTTTCTAGATGGCATGCTTGTTTCACTACTTTTTGAATTTTTCTTTTTTTTTGGTTACTAATTGACTGATTTTGTAACAGCTTTATTGAGATGTAATTCACATACACAGTTCACCCATTTAACAGGCACAATTCAGTGGTTGTCAGTGTATCCACAGTTATCTAACCATCACTACATCAATTTTAGAGCATTTTCATCACCTCAAAAAGAAAGCCTGTGCCCTTTATCTGTTATCTTCTGCCTTTGGCCCCTGCTAATCTACTTTCTGTCTCTATGGATTTGCCTATTCTGGACATTTAATATAAACCAGTCATATAGTACATGGTCTTTTGTGACTGGCTGCTTTCACTTAGCGTAATTTTCTCAAGGTTTATCTAAGTTATAGCAGGTATTAGTTCTTCATTCCTTTTCATGGATGAATAATATTCCATCGTCTAGATATACCAGTGTTTGCTTATCCATTCATCAGTTGATGGACGTTTGAGTTGTTTCTACCTTTTGGATAGTATAAATGATACCGCTCTGGAGATCTGTGTGCAAGCTTTTGTGTGGACGTATACTCTTCTTTCTCTTGGGTATGCTGGATTATAGAGTAACTTTATGTTTAACCTTTTGAGGAACTGCCAGGCCATTTCCTACAATGGCTGCACCGTTTTACATTCCCACCAGCAATATATGAGAGTTCCAGTTTCTCCATATTTTAACCCACATTGGAGTTATTCTCTTTTTGTTTATAGTCATCCTAGTGAGTGTGAAATGGTATCTAATGTGGTTTTGATTTGATGGCTAATGATGCTGATTATATTTTCGTGTATTTTTAGCCATAGGTATGTCTTCTTTGGAGAAATGTCTATCAGATCTTTTGACCATTTTTAATTTGGATTACTTGGCTTTTTATTGTGAGGTGTAAGAGTTCCTTCTATACACACGTTCCCTGTCAGACATGTGATTCGCAAACATTTTCTCCCATTCTGTGGGTTTTCTTTTCACGATCTCGATTGTATCTTTTGAAGCACAAAGGTTTTAAATTTTGATGTGGTTCAACTTAGCTAATTTTTTTTTTCTTTTGTGACTTGTGCTTTCGGTGCTACATGCAAGAACCTGTGGCCAAATCCAAGGTCATGAAGTTTTATCCCTCTGTTTTCTTCTAAGAGCTTCATAATTTTGGAGCTTACATTTACATCTTCGATCCATTTTGAGTTGACTTTTGTGTACGGTGTAAGGTAAGGGTCAAACTTCATGCATGCGGCTATCCAGTTACCCCAGCATCATTTGTTGATGAGACTGTCCTTTCTCCGTTGAATGGTCTTGGTATCCTTGTCAAAAATCAATTGACCGTAGTTGTATGGCTTTATTTCTGGACCCTGAATTCTATTCCATTGACCTATGTGTCTATCCTTATGCCGGTACAACTTTCTATACCTTTGGATTAAGTTTTAAAATTGGGAAATGTGATTCCTCCAATTTTGTTTTTCTTTTTCAACACTGTTTTGACTATTTGGTGTTCCTTGCAATTATATATAAATTTTGGGACTGCAATTTTCATTTCTATAAAAAATACCATTGGAATTGCATTGATAGGCATTGTGTTGACTCTATAGGTCGGTATGGGGAGTATATTTATATTAACAATATAAGTTTGATAATCCATGAACATAGGATGTCTTTTGATTTGTTTAGGTCCTTTTTTTTTTTTTGAGACAGGGTCTCCCTTCATTGCCCAAGCTGGAGTACAGTGGTGCAATCACAGCTCACTGCAGCCTTGACTTCCCAGGCTCAAGTGATTCTCCTACTTCAGCTTTCAGAGTAGCAGGGACTACAGGCAGCCACCACTATGTTGGCCAAATTTTTGTATTTTTTACATAGAGATGAGATTTCCCCATGTTGCCCAGGCTGGTCTTGAACTCCTAGGCTCAAGCAATCCACCTGCCTTTGTCTCCCAAAGTGCTGGGATTATAGGTGTGTGTCACCGTGCCTGGCCCATTTAGGTGTTATTTCATTTTTGTCAACATTTTGTACTTTTTAAAGTATAAGTTTTATACTTCTTTAGCTAACCTTTTCCTAAATACTTTATTCTTTTTGATGCTAATGCCAGAGGAACTGTTTTCTTAATTTCATTTTCAAATTGTTGATTGCAAATGTAAAGAAATACAATTGATTTTTGTATATTGATTTTTTCATTTACTGCTGAACTTGTTCATTCGTTTTAATAGTTTTTCATGGATTCTGATCCCTTAGGATTTTCTAGGTACATGATGATGTCATTCTTCAATAAATATATTTTACTTCTTTCTTTTTCTTGACTAATTTTCATGGCTAGAATATCCAATACAATGTTAAATCAAAGTGGTGAGCATGGATAGTCTTGTCTTGTCCCTGATCTTAGGGGAAGAGCATTCAGTATTTCACCACTGAGTATGTTAGCTGTGGGTTTTTCACATGTGCCCATTATTAGATTCCTTGACACTTCTAATGTATTCAGTGTTTTTAGCATGAGTGTTGGATTTTGTCAAATTCTTTTTCTGTGTTTATTGAGATAATAATGTGATTTAAAAAAATCGATCAGCTGGGTGTGGTGGCTCATGCCTGTAATCCCAGTCAGGAGTTTGAGACCAGCCTGGCCAACATAAATTAGTTCTGGCCAGAACATAATAGTTCTTCATTCTTTCTGATGAGTGAAACTCCATCTCTGTTAAAAATACAAAAACTTAACTGAGCATGGTGGCACACACCTGTAATCCCAGCTGCTTGGGAGGCTGAGGCAGGAGAATTGCTTGAACCTGGGAGGTGGAGGTTGCAGTGAGCCAAGATTGTGCCATTGCACTCCAGCCTGGGTGACAGAGCAAGACTCCATC